AAAGAATATTGGTCACCCATGTTGAATTTGGCATAGAAGAGTTATACATCTAGAAGAAAAAAAAGTATAAACATAATTACTTGGAAAACAACCATCAATATCATCCTAATGTTTTAATACACTCAACAAATACACATATTTTAACAATACCACAAAAAATTAAAGTAGTCAGAATTTTTTCATGTAACCATTAATTATCTGCTCTACATTAATTTCAGTAACACAAGCCTTAAAAGAAAGGTCCACATTCATAAGATACTGATTAGCTAGAAAGATACATAACATTCTGACATATTTATATTTAATTGGAAATGGTATCCTAAATTAGTCAAAAGAGAAAACAATACCTAACTTTAAGTCAGTTAATACAGAAAGTTAACATTTTCCTTATCTGAACATGTATTACAGAAAGATATTCACTCCTCCAGAGAACAGATAGCCATAATCTTGCACCACTGCCGCAAAGATTTGTGTGCATGCACAAAGCCTTAAATGACACTCCCACCCCTACACATATTAACATGAAATGTGCCAGTTTATGATGCAATAAGCATTAGACTATAATTCTCCACAAACAGTAAACCCCACAAGCACTTGTGCCTTAAAAAAGGCTTATTATTGACAAGGCAAAAGAAACACACCAGAAGTGGGAAGGATGGGAGATTCTGTGCAGAGGTCAGTATCTTACTGAAATATATTTTCATTACCTGAAAATGTTAACTTCAAAAATGCTAATCACCTTTCCACAAACTTTAGAGTTAAAATCTCACATTCATAAGATTGTGGAGGAAATGGTGTAGATAAAGAACCTAAGAATATGAGCTCCTTTCTGAAAAGGGAATAATCTTTGTCCAATACTGGTGATAGAGAAAAAGATGGTCTCAAAGAACCTCCAGCATGGTGCTAGTGCTGCAAAGGTGGGCGAAATGTAACAAATGCCCCTTAAATCCCAAGTGAAGGGAGGAATTATCCTAGATCCGTATCCTGAGGTAAACAAAAGATCAATCCAGCTGCATTGACCACCAGGAATGGTCTGGTTCATAATGTAAGAGGTGACTTGTACTACCCTTCTATGTAAACTTCCCAGCCCTACTTCCAAATGAGGGGTTCACCACCTTGGTCTAATACCAATGGGATTATATGCACCTAAAAGGAAACTCTCCATATTGAACTCCCAATGGCTTGGGACTGAGAAGCAAGAATTCTCCCTATACTCTTCGACAAGAAAATGGAGGGGAGAAATTTATGTAGAGAGAGTGCTAAAGAGGTGCTTGGACCAAACAGAAATCATTGCATCAACATAAGATCTCACACTGATAAGACTGTGTGATGAGTTGCTGTGACTAAGGAGAATAGACAACAGCCTCGTGTGAGAGCAGGATCACACATAGTTCTGTAATTTTTTAATTTTTTCCAGAAGTATGGCCTCGAAGGTAAAATACATAGTTACTGTGAAAGCAGTCTTGACAAAAATCCCATCTCAACAGTGGGAACTAGACTGAGGATATTGGCTGAACACTGCCTATCATCCCCCCACTCACTGTAGAGTTTGATTGAGAAAAGTATTCCCTGTGAGACAATGCTAGCCATCATGTAATTAATATAGATACATGTAAATAATAAGGTAGTTGTGGGAGCTGCAAACAAACAAAGAACTAACAGCTTACTTCTATAGAATCTCTGTGAATATTGCAGAATGGCAACTGAAGGGAGATGAAACTGCAATATGCTGTAAGTAATGTGCCACAAATATGTCGGGGATCATTCACTTCCCCTTCTGCAAGACCTCATCTAGAGTGAATAGAGACAAAAGAAGTTGAAAGTTAAAAAAACTGATGAGAGGAGACACAAAAAAAGGTCGGAACAAGTCAGTAAAAGCTGAAAAAAAAAGAATAGCTAAGGAAAAAATGGTAAGTTATTAACAAACTTACAGACAGATATTGGACCAGTCCTGACTCAGAGTATCCACAGCCAAAATTGCTGAGTCCTGGACTGAAGACCACAAAAATGGAACCTGGTGAGAAAGATCCGATCAAGTCAAGACAGTTGATATACCACCAAGTTGAAAGCTCCCAGGATATAACATATCGACAGTCAAATGTGTTGGTTATGGTTCCAAGGAAGAAAGTCTAGAGACAAAAAGCCAAGAGAATGAGTGGCTCCCTGTAGGCTGATATAAAAAACAGCAGTGAAGTTGTTTGAATGGATCATAACAAGATGATCAGACCAATGAGACAGAAGATGATGTCAAGCTTACTGAGTAGCCAACATCATGGAGACTGATATGAAGAGGCCATGAAAAGAGGTTTCCAGAACCATACCCCACTTGGATACAGAGGCACCTGTGAACAAATGCAAGTCTGAGTAAGGTGGAGGAAGAAAGATGCCCAGGACAGCAAGATGTGAAAAGATGGAAGAAGGGGCACAAGAAAAGAGAGAGGATCTCCGGTCATACTTCAGTGATCAACCAGAGTCCACTAAAAAAAAAGGATATATAAGGTCGCATTCAAAAGGAAGAAAGGAGCGAAGTCAGAGTCTCTAAAAGATACACAGCCACTTGCAAGGAAAAGAAGAAGACATGTGTCAAAGATGTAAAGGAGAAAGCTGACCCTGCCCTGCAAGTGAATTGCAAACTTTCTCTCTATAATGCAATGATCTATAGTTATATAAAGTGATTATCATATGAATGTGTGTTCTTGTGCAAAACTGAATAATGGGCCATCTGCGAATCTTCAACTGTAGCATTGTGAGCCTATAAACTAAATGCTGGCTCACTGGAGAACTATAAATGTCCCCAGGAGTCGACTGAAAATACACAAGGCTGTAGCCAACCTGAAGGCAAGGACCCAAAACTGAAAAATCCAACTGAATGTAAAGACATGCATTCAAACAATTGACTCTAGTCAACCACAGCTTAGGAGAGAACACCCACCTCAGAACAAAAAAAAAACACACACTAATCCTGAACTGAGGGATGAAAAGAGACAGAGCCATATGCAAGGAAAAGAAAATGATGGGAGAATTTTTGTAACCTAAGTCTCTATGTCTTGAGGAGACTTATGTTAGTTTAAGAACAATAATATAATGATAGATTGCAAATCACCTGTCTTCATGGGAATGACATAGAAACAGGAGTAAAACCCCAGATTGGGATCAAGGACTTGATGTACTGTGTTCATAAGCCGGAGAGAAGATACAGCCTCTTCAAGGTGCTAAAGATACAATTCATTATATGAGCATTACCTTGCACTCCAATTTGTCAGTGTCTGAGTCAGACTGGCATCACTGATTCAAATACATATCTTGAGTAAAAATACTTTTATAACACATCTGAAATTTTGTGTGCAACAAACTTGTACATTTACTAAAAGCTTACTACATTTTGTGTAAATAAGCATAATAAATTTAGAATTACAGTTAATACTCTTTCTCCAATACAGGGTTGGACTGACCCTACGCATATTTGGTTAATAACATCGGGGGATAGTAAAATAAAAAAAGCCATGTCACAGACTCTGACACATGTTCCAAAATTTCTTAATTTAATTAGGAGAAGAAATCAAACAAATAATTCAAATTAGATGTTCTAAGTGAAATGATTGAAATGTTTGTATCTTTCTTTGCTAAGATCAAGAAAATAAAGGAAGAGACACTACACTATGAATAGTAACTAACATAAAATAATAAGTACAAAACTTCCACTACACTATGAATAGTAACTAACATAAAATAATAAGTACAAAACTTCCATAATTATTAATGCAAAAAATAAACACACCTAAAACCAAGCAATACCAAGGAAAGAAAGAGCTGTTATAGTGGCATAAGAGCTCATGGAAGTCTACTGTACATGGAGGGTGTGTCACCTCACTATTGGTGGAAAACTACAGTCTATTGCTGAGTGCTTCATCATAGACTGGTGCAATAAATGTTAATATGCTCAAAAGTTTGCACATTCACAAAAAACTTTTGGCAGTGGCTCAAGGTAATAAATATATGTTCTGTGGAGAGGTGAGTTGTGTTTCTGAAACAAGATTTTACTGTAATTCTAAAGCATTACTCTACCACAAATTCAAAACAGTCACAATGGAACAAAGAATTATATTGTAATTCCAAAATAATAAAAAAACACCCTAATGAAAAATCTAAATGACTCAGTGCATAAAATAGCATTTGTGGCAAGTGAATTATATGATATCAAATAAAGGAAACAACACTTACAGTAACTTTCACCCAACCTGGAATTACAAATGCATAACACTTTTTATCAATAATTAAGTCTCTTATCCTTTTCATATGTATTTTTTAATTCATTAAAATTGGAATGAAATAAATCTCTCAAATGATTAAAAATAATTCCTTGACCAAGAAAAGATTATTTAAACATTTTACTTTTCATTTCAAGCAAATTTTGCAATTTCATATATATTTGAAATTTTTACAAATCAAGTTCTGCATTAAACTTTAAATTAAGCCTAATAAATGATGACGAAGCACAATCTGAAAATGAGAAAATGTCCTGATTATGTCAAAAAATTGTTGCAAAATTGAACACAGTTAACTTATGACTTAAAATAATACTTGTGGTCTGAAAAATTATCAAAATTACAGCTTAAAAACAATTTAACATACTATTGTCAACATCTTGTACACAAACTGTCAATTACTTTATGCAAGTTAATCTTTATGTTACACATTATTACAGTTCTGCTTCATCATTACCATGGTCCATTAGTATAACATAAACTTGTATATGTACATTTGTTATACTAATTGTGCAGCAAAAATAAATGTTTTTATATAGTTGAAGTGCCCGGCATGGCCAGGTGGATAAGGCGCTCGACTCACAATCTGAGGGTCGCGGGTTCGAATCC